GTGCGAGATTCGTGTTGTAACATCCGGTTGAGGGCAAATATTACGGCTCCATGCTTATCTTGTCTAACCGTCCTTTCCCTTAATCTCAGCCCTTCACTCTACTTGGACCCGGTGCTTCCATATCTTATCCCGGGTGGACCATTCGTCCTCCCCCGGCTGTGAGACGTTGAACCCCTCGGTTTACTCGAAGTCATGTTAGATCATGTTTCCCTCTCATTTCTTTACCGGGAAATTGGGGGTAACTTTATCCTTGATTTTACCTGTACACAACGGTAACGTTCAAATCAACTTGCACACCAGAGTATTAACAGCTACCTGCTAACTTCCACCAGTATGCTCTGCATCACGATTAAGGTAAATGGGAAGACATCACTTAATATTTCTTATTCTACTAGAATTTGAACATGAAATCTCATGGTTCTCCTTCCATTTCATTAGTCATTTGGCGACATCATTGATTACATTTTAGATACTTTAACTAAGTCTATCCTATTAAACACCACACTCATGTTTAAATTGTGTCTATTAAACCCTTCACTAGCAACCAATCAAAATAATTTAATAGAGTGTAATTCACATGCAAATGATGCGAAAAAATGTAATGAAGACATGTGGCACTTGTGCTCAAATAGTTACAAGAAATAGATTTTGATTCTCAAAAAATTAGAGAAATCTATCTTCACATAAAATCACAGTATAGGAATTGAGAGCTATTTTCTATGCGGAAATGATCGGTCCACTTTTCTGGTATTATACAATTCTTTCATCCCACATTGTACATTAGTTTTATTAGTAAAAGTTTTCAACTTTTATATTTGTACTGAAGTTCTTTTATGTTTTAATTGAGGGTAATTATCGAACTCTTATTTTCGTATTAACAATAACTATTCTTCAATTATATTAGTCAGCCATCAAACTTCGAATACTAATCAAAAAAGTGGCTAGCCCGCTGAGTTTTTACCACATCATGTTAGAGTAGGCAAATTAGATATATTAGATGCTGGTTAATACTTAGTCCTTTTTTACTCTTGTATTTATAGTTTAGCCCAATTGTACAGATTCTAAGTTAGGCCCATTCCATTGTATTTTTTCATTTTTCCGGGTCACTATAAATAGTGAAGCCCAAGTATGTAATAAGACAACTATGATTCATTTTCACATATACAGAAGAAACAATGCTCTCGAAGCATCTGTTCTTAGCAGTCATGGTGTAAAGCCCAATCTTCAATCTTCCTCATCTCTTCCACCTTTCTTCATGTTAACATGGTATTAGAGCCGAGATCCGTCTAAATCTTGTGCTGAGAATTCGATTGATCCTACACTCGTCTTCTCTCGTTGTTTTTCTATATACTTCGTCCGACTTTGATTATTTTGATATTCGTGGTCCGCTGGTGGTTTTCTGCTCGATTTTTTCTCCAACATCGTGTTCAATCATCTACTCCAGTGCATAGGAGCGGTGAATTTTGCTTTCAGACGATTTCAAGGATTTCGACTGAAACTAGGATTTGCTCGTATCGAAGCTCTATGATGGCGGCTGATATTGAGGTGTTCTTTTCTTGTTGAAGGCCGTAGCTCTTTTTGGTTGCGAAAGAGATTGGTAACATCAACTTCATCCTTCATTACATCTTCGTATTTCTGCTTGCAAGAACTAGGTTCTCTGTATAATTGATTATGAATCTGATAACATGACCAACGGAACTCCTAATACATCTTCAACTCCTGTTATTTTTCGCATTGCCTTACATGAGGATGACTATACTTATCCCTGTCATCCTCTCTATGTGATCCATCAGATGTTTTGGGGACCTCATTGCTCTCCACTCCGTTTGATGGAACATGATATGGTAGTTGGAGGCGTAATATCCTTGTTTCACTTTCAATTAGAAACAAACTAGCTTTTATAAATAGAAACTCCCAGAAGTCTTCACCTACTTCAACTCTTGCCAGACAATGGCAGATGTGTAATGACATTGTCATCTCCTAGTTAGTAAACTCCTTGTCTAAGGAAATATCTCGCAGTGTGGAGTATTCAGAGTTTGCTAGGGAAATTTAGAATGAGTTAGAAGAGAGAGATATGGTAAGGTCGATGGTGTTATAGTTTTTGAACTTAAGAAAGAGTTAACACACATTTCCCAGGGGTCTCTTGACATAGCCTCATATTTCAATAAAATCAAACAGTTATGGGATGAAATAGCTTCCATATTTGCTGGTCGACTAGGGTGTGTTCTTGTGGGGCTAAGTCTGCAGAAGATGAGGAATAGAGAGCTTATCAGTTTTTAATGGGTTTGAATGATACATATGTCCAAACCAGAAGTAATATTCTGATGATGAAGCCACTTCCTTCAGTTGGGGCTGTGTACAACATTCTATTGTCTGATGAGAAGCAGAGGAATGTGTCTGCTGGAACTCAGTTTCCTTCTACTTCTGCATCTTTTAATGTTGGGGTCTCTAGGCAGGGTTATTCTTCTAGAGTGAACTTTGAATCATCTAAACCAAATGTCACCTGCAAATACTGTAAGAAACCTGGTCATACTATAGTGAAATGCTACAAACTCCATGGTTATCCCCCAAGTTTTAAGTTTACTAAAACTCCTAACCTTAGAAAGACTGCTGCACATGTTGAGCTCACCAACCATCCCGAATCTGGGACTGGTGACATCTCTACTGAGCATGATACTCTTCCACAGTCTGAAGATATATCTGCTATCCCTGGGCTTACCAAGGATCAGTACTCTCAATTGATGTTGTTGCTTCAACAGTCACATCTGTCTCCTTCTCCATCTACTTCAAACCTAATGGGGTCAGCAAATTTTGCTGGTGAGTCAATTCTTCCTGGTGTGTCTTATGGTGCATGTATGTTGACCAAAGTGGATGGTATAATGTGGATCATAGACTCTCGGGCTTCTGACCATATGACTGCCACAAAAAATTTACTCTTTAATGTCCAACCTTACCTGTTCCATAAATGTTTCTCTTCTAAATGGTTATAAAGTCAAGGTTACCAATATAGGATCATTGACTTTATTGCCTGATTTGATATTGAACAATGTACTTTATGTTCCTAGTTTTCAGTATAATCTCATTTCTGTCCACAAATTACTTTCTCATTGAGATGACATGGTACAGTTTACCAAGGTTGCTAGTACTTTACAGGGCCCTTCAGTGGGAAGCCAGTAGTACTTGGTAAGCTCGACAATGGACTCTACAAGTTGTTTCAGTTTGCATCGCTCCTAACCCAGATTTTTCTTCTCTTACTCATCTTGTTGTTTGAAATGTTTCAGTTTCTAATTCTTCTGTTCATGCTAGTGTAATTGATGAATTCTCACATGTAAATACCATATCAGCTATTGATAATATGAATAAAGCTGAAGTTGTTTGGCATTACAGACTTGGGCATATTCCTTTCTCTAAACTGAAAACTATATCTGCTATAAATTGTAAATTTTCTCTTAAACAATCCTTTAGCTGTCATATCTGTCCATTAGCCAGGCAAACAAGACTGCATTTCCCTGATAGTAGTATACAGTCCACTCACACATTCCAATTAATTCACATAGATACTTGGGGACCTTATCACACACCTACCTATAATGGTTCCAAATATTTTTTGACCATTGTTGATGATTTCTCAAGGGCCACTTGGACACATCTTTGGGAGCCAAGAGTAATGCTTTTGATTTACTCAAGGCTTTCATTGCCATGGTTGAAACTCAATTCCATACTAAGGTTTAGGCTGTCAGAAGTGATAATGCCTTAGAATTGGGGTCTAGTGCTTCAGATTCAATCTTCTTTTTTGAAAAAGGAATTCAACATCAGACTTCCTGTCCACACACTCCTCAACAGAATGGAGTGGTGGAAAGGAAGTACAGACATTTGCTTGAAACTGCCAGGGCTCTATTATTTCAATCTCATCTTCCCATTAGATTCTGGGAGACTACCTTCTCACTGCAACCTACTTAATCAATAGGTTTCCATCACCTCTCCTAATCACAAAAGTCCCTATGAGTTATTATATGGTTCTGTTCCCTCTTACTCTCATCTTAAAGCTTTTGGTTGTTTCTGTTACTTTACTATAACTAAGTTGCACAAGGATAAATTCTCCCCCAGATCTATCACATGTGTAGTTGTGGGTTATCCCTTTGCTAAGAAAGGTTATAAACTCTATAGTATCACTTCCAAAACCAGCTTCATCTCTAGGGATGTCATTTTCTCATAACACATTTTTCCATTCTTTAAGGCTTCCAGTCAGTCTTCTCACATTCTTTCTTCTCCTCTATCAACTTGTTTTGATACTGATTGTTCTGCACCTCCTCCTTCTACTTTATCTTCCCCTTCACCTGCTTCTTCTTCATCTATTGATCCTCCCTCTCCTGTTTTGTATTCTGATCCTAGTTCCACTGTAACTCCTACTTCACCTCCTAGTACCTCACCTCATGTTCCTCATGTTTCTTCATACCCTTTTTCTTCACCTACTGATCATTCAGTTCCTGTTTCTTCTTCTCCATTGCCTACTTTGAGAATATCCTCTAGACCACATAACCCTCCTAGTTATCTCAATAGCTATGTTTGTCAGTCCTTATCCTCCAATTCTATCTCAATCCCCTCTGTTGGTCAGTTGCATATCCCAAAGCCAAGTTCATATTCTCAGGCAGCCACTATTCCTGAGTGGCAAGATGCCATGAAGAAGGAATTTGAAGCTCTGGAAGCCAATAGGACTTGGGAAATCATTGACTTGCCACATGGCAGAAGCCTATTGGGTGCAAATGGGTTTATAAAGTGAAATATAAGGCTGATGGTAGTATAGAAAGGTACAAAGCTAGGTTGGTGGTCAGGGGTGATACTCAAGTAGAAGGGATTGATTTTCATGAAACATCCTCCCTTGTTGTCAAAATGTCTACTATTAAGACCTTAATTGTTGTGGCCATCAAGCAACAGTGGTCTCTGTTCCAACTTGGTGTCAATATATTTTCTTGCATGGTGATCTTGATGAAGAGGTTTTCATGAAGCTTCCTCCTGGATTGTCTGTTCCTGCCTCCACTTCTTCTTCTACATCTTTGGTCCACAAGCTCCAGAAATCCCTTTATGGGTTGAGGCAAGCTTCCAGACAATAGTATGCTAAGCTGTCTCAAGCTCTTTCTTCCAGAGGCTACATGCATTCTCTTAATGACTATTCTGTCTTCACTAAGGGTTTTGGGGCTTCTTTGGTTATATTGGTTGTTTATGTAGATAAAATCATACTAACTGGTACTGACTTTACGAAAATTTTTGCCCTGAAGAGCTTTCTCCATGATCAGTTCAAAATCAAGGATTTGGGTCTCGTTAACTACTTTCTTAGTATTGAAGTTCTTTATACTTCTTCTGGGGTTCTGTTGCATCAAAGGAAATTTATTCATGACCTTTTAGATGAGTTTCACTCTCTTGAGTGTACTCCTGTCACATGCCCCCTTGAATTAAATGTGAAGCTGAAGGCCAAGGAAGGTGAACCTTTGCTTAAACCTGAAGAGCATAGAAGTCTCATAGGCAAGCTGAATTTTTTTGACCCATACCAGACCTGACCTCAGCTTTGCAGTCCAGCATTTGAGTCAGTTCATGCAGCAGCCTTGCCACCCACACATGAAGGCTGCTCTTCATCTTCTCAGATATCTCAAGGGTTCAGCTGATTCTGGGGTCTTTTACAACAATGATCCTGCTATGTCTTTACAGTTGTTTTGTGATAGTGACTGGGCCTCTTGCACTGACAGTAAGAGGTCAGTCATTGGTTTCTGCATCTTCCTTGGAGGTAGTTTGGTGGGTTGGAAATCCAAGAAGCAACTTGTGGTTTCTCTTTCCTCAGCAGAAGCTGAGTACAGATCTATGAGTAAGGCAGTGGCTGAAGTTACTTGGTTGTCCAGGTTGTTGTCTGATTTAGGTGTGCTTCTTCCCACTCCTGTGCATGTATTTTGTGACAGCCAGGTTGCCCTTCATATTGCTAAAAATCCTGTCTTTCATGAGGGGACGAAGCACATAGAATTGGATTGTCATTTTGTACGTGCCAAACTTGGAGATGGGTTGATCTCTCTTGTCCACACTCCTATTGCCTCTCAAACTGCTGATATACTCACCAAGGTTCTACCTGGTCCTGCTCATCACCTACACACTCGCAAGTTGGGGGTTTTGTCACCCTCCAACTTGAGGGGGGCTGTTAGAATAGGCAAATTAGATATATTAGATGTTGGTTAATACTTTGGGCCTAGTCCTTTTTTACCCTTGTATTTATAGTTTAGCCCAATTGTACAGATTCTGAGTTAGGGCGCATTCCATTATATTTTTTCATTTTTTCGGGTCACTATAAATAGTGAAGCCCAAGTATGTAATAAGAACTATGATTCATTTTCACATATACAGAAGAAGCAACGCTCTCGAAGCTTCTGTTCTTAGCAGTCATGGTGTAAAGCCCTGTTAGTAGACTGTATTTGTAAAATAATTCTAGAAATATAAATGAGTATAAACAGAAATGAACATAAACAGAAATGACATAAAACCAATTCGAGCCCACTGAATTCACAGTGTTTCCTTAAGGAATGTAATTCCCTCCTAGTACCCAAGGTTATGGATTATTTCCTCCCAGGATAGAACGAATTACACACTGGTGTAGTGGTACTTCAAACCCCAGTGTTTCAGCGAACACAAAGTTCGGTAGCAAATCACACTTACTTTTTGCTTTGTTTGATGCTAAAAGTATGCAGAAGAAGGAGAAGAAACTCAGAAAATCGTAGTGAAATTCTGAGCAGAATAGTGTTGTATTTATAGCCAAAGTTAGGCTGAAATCTGAAGAGGTGCAACTCTTCAGAATGGCTGTTTATGCAAAACGCCCACAGCATAAATGCCATTACATAAATGGCCATTTACTCAAAAATAAAGAGGGAAAATTGAAGAGGGTAGTTACTTTTCTGTTACCAAAACAGAAAAACGGATTGGATTTAATATTAATATTTAATATTAATATTTTGTTATTAAAACAAATATTTAATAACATTTCTGTTAATATTTTACTATTAACAAATAAATTTGGTCCAAAAAGTTAATCAATCAATCGATCATTTGACCGAATCCGAAGCCGAAGCCGAAGCCGAGCCGAGCGAGCGACGACGACGACGGCGCGAGGCTTGCCTTCTTCTCAACTCTTTAAGAGCTAGAAGAAGAGCAATTGCTTATATACCCATAAAAAACCTCTTCCTCTTCCAATATGGGACAATGCCCATTTGCCAAGGGGGGGAACTTAAAATTTCACTCAAAAATTTTATTTCCCTCCATTTCCCATTCACCCTCTTTTAAGTATTTAATATATTAATTAAACACATCCAAAACCCAACAATCCCTCACATGAATGGGGAATGGCTATATCACGGAAGTATGCATGAAAAACTGTGTGATTCGCAAGTAAGGATTAATTGCATCTGGATAAGTAGGTTTCCCTTTGAACTTTCCGTAGTGAACTTATGTCGGATATACTCGATCTATCGGTAGATTTGATATCTTTGAACCGTCGAACTTTAGTGTATACCTAGACAACCACAAGTCACACAACCAACCCTTAACCGTCTTTGGTTCTCATTGTTGTGTTCGTTTCAGCCATGAACACCGCCTGGTTTCATAAGTGCGTAGAGAACTGGCCTTACAATGTTCTCCTTGAAGGGGCTAACACTTCACACTTACATAGGTGATTCCTAAACGTGTCATCCCGTAGATACACTATTTGATATACCCCGTATCAAATTTAGAAATCATTAAAAAGCCTTAATGCTTTATCCTTGGTACTGAACATTGTCTCATCACGAGAATGGACCAAAAGTTTAGTTGACAATGTTGAACCGTAATAAATGACTTTGTTTGATCTCCTTGAACCTAGATCTTGGGATCTCCAGTCTTCTAGGTAGAGTTACCGCCACTATGACTTGTTCTCGGCCATAGTCCCATTCCCCTTGATGACTTCTCAACTACCTCTCTAGTTAGGCCTTTTGTAAGTGGATCCGACACATTATCACTTGACTTTACATAGTCAATCGTGATAATTCCTCTAGAGAGTAATTGTCTAACGGTTTTATGTCTTCGTCGTATATGGCGAGACTTACCGTTATACATAACGCTCCCAGCCCTTCCAATTGCCGCTTGACTATCACAATGTATGCATATTGGTGCCAACGGTTTGGGCCAAAATGGAATATCTTCCAAGAAATTCCGGAGCCATTCAGCTTCTTCACCGGCTTTATCCAAGGCTATGAACTCAGCCTCCATTGTAGAGCGGGCAATACAAGTTTGTTTGGATGACTTCCAAGATACCGCTCCTCCACCAATAGTGAATACATATCCACTTGTGGACTTGGAATCAGTTGATCCGGTGATCCAATTTGCATCACAGTATCCCTCAATGACCGCAGGATATTTATTGTAGTGCAAAGCAAAGTCCTGGGTATGTACTAAATACCCCAAAACTCGTTTCATGGCCATCCAATGAGATTGGCCTGGATTGCTCGTATATCGACTCAATTTACTTATAGCACAAGCTATATCTGGTCGTGTACAATTCATGATGTACATTAAGCAACCCAACACACGAGCATAATCCAATTGTGATATGCTCTGGCCTTTGTTCTTTGCTAATGCAAGATTCACATCAATTGGAGTCTTTGCAACTTTAAAGCCCAAGTGCTTGAATTTTTCAAGTACTGTCTTAATATAATGAGATTGTGACAATGCTAGACCTTGAGAAGTCTTATGGATCTTAATTCCCAGAATTAAATCAGCAACTCCCAAGTCTTTCATATCAAACTTGCTAGTTAGCATACGCTTAGTAGCATTTATGTTGGCAATGTCATTACTCATTATGAGCATATCATCCACATATAAGCAAACAATGACTATGTGATTTGGAACATTTTTAATGTACACACATTTATCACATTCATTTATCTTAAATCCATTTGACAACATTGTTTGGTCAAATTTAGCATGCCATTGTTTGGGTGCTTGTTTTAATCCGTAAAGGGACTTAACAAGTCTACAGACCTTCTTTTCTTTACCTGGAACCACAAACCCTTCAGGTTGTTCCATGTAAATTTCTTCCTCCAACTCTCCATTTAAGAAGGCCGTCTTAACATCCATTTGATGAATTTCAAGACCATAAACTGCAGCTAACGCTACTAACGTTCGTATGGATGTAATTCTTGTAACTGGAGAGTATGTATCAAAATAGTCAAGACCTTCTCGTTGTCTATACCCTTTGACCACAAGTCTTGCCTTATACTTGTCAATAGTGCCATCATCTTTCATTTTCCTCTTAAAGATCCATTTAGAACCCAACGGTTTATTTCCAGGAGGAAGATCAACCAATTCCCATGTATGGTTGTTCAGTATGGATTCTATTTCACTATTGACCGCCTCTTTCCATAACAATGATTCCGAAGAAGACATAGCTTCTTTAAATGTTTGAGGCTCATTTTCCAATAAGAAAGTCACAAAATCTGGTCCAAATGAAGTAGACGTTCTTTGACGTTTACTACGTCTTGGATCCTCTTGGTTAAGTGTACTTTCTTTTGTTTCTTCCCGAGGTCGTTTAGATCCTTCACCAATCGACTCACATTCCTTTTTATACGGATATATATTTTCAAAGAACTCAGCATTATCTGATTCTATAACCGTATTATTATGAATGTCGGGATTTTCTGATTTATGAACCAGAAATCGATATGCTTTACTATTAGTCGCATATCCTATGAAAACACAATCAACGGTTTTCGGTCCTATTTTTACCCTTTTGGGTTTAGGAACTTGCACTTTTGCCAAACACCCCCACACTTTAAAATAATTCAAGTTGGGCTTCCTTCCTTTCCATTTTTCATATGGAATGGATTGTGTTTTGCTATGGGGTACTCGATTTAGTATTCGGCTAGCCGTAAGAATGGCTTCCCCCCACAAGTTCTGTGGCAAACCAGAACTTATCAATAATGCGTTCATCATCTCCTTTAATGAACGATTCTTTCTTTCTGCAATCCCATTGGATTGGGGCGTGTAAGGGGCCGTTGTTTGATGAATAATTCCATATTCTAAACATATTTGTTCAAAAGGAGATTCATATTCACCACCCCTATCACTTCTTATCATTTTGATTTTCTTATTAAGTTGCGTTTCAACTTCATTTTTGTATTGCTTGAATGCGTCTATTGCTTCATCTTTACTATTAAGTAAGTAAACATAGCAATATCGAGTACTATCGTCAATAAAAGTTATGAAATACTTTTTTCCACCGCGAGATGGTATTGACTTCATGTCACAAATATCTGTGTGAATTAAGTCTAAAGGATTTGAATTCCTTTCAACCGACTTATAAGGATGTTTAACATACTTAGATTCCACACATACTTGACATTTTGATTTGTCACATTCAAACTTGGGCAATACTTCCAAATTAATCATTTTCCGTAAGGTTTTATAATTGACATGACCCAAACGTATATGCCATAATTCATTTGACTCAAGTAAGTAAGACGAAGCTGAAATTTTATTATTATTTTCAACAACCATTACATTCAGCTTGAAAAGGCCCTCAGTGAGGTAACCTTTTCCTACAAACATTTCATTCTTACTTATTACAACCTTATCGGAAACAAAAACACATTTAAAACCATTCTTAACAAGAAGTCCAGTAGAGACTAAATTCTTCCTAATCTCGGGAACATGAAGGACGTTGTTCAAAGTCACCACTTTGCCGGAAGTCATTTTGAGAAATATCTTCCCACATCCTTCAATCTTCGCCTTTGAAGCATTTCCCATAGAAATCGTCTCATCGGGTCCAACAGGAGCATAAGAAGCAAAAGCTTCTCTAACAGCACAAACATGGCGAGTGGCTCCAGAATCAATCCACCACTCTTTAGGATTGCCCACCAAGTTGCATTCGGAAAGCATGGCACATAAATCATCAACATCATCACGCTTTTCAACCATGTTTGCTTGACCCTTCTTCTTGTCTTTCTTTGGAGCACGACACTCCGTAGATTTGTGTCCAGTTTTTCCACAGTTGTAGCAGTTTCCACTGAACCGCTTCTTGCTTGGGTTGTATTTCGGTCCAGAAGCCTTCTTCCTCTTTTTATTCTCTTCAACAATATTTGCTCCCATTATTGTTGAGTTTCCACGGCCTCTCTTTTCAGCAGCTTTGTTGTCCTCTTCGATTCTCAACCGAACAATGAGATCTTCAAGGGACATCTCCTTGCGTTTGTGTTTCAAGTAGTTTTTGAAGTCCTTCCACAAAGGAGGCAACTTCTCAATCATCGCTGCTACTTGAAATGCTTCATTGATAACAAGACCTTCAATGAAATTTCTATTAGTAAAAATACCAAGATTACTACTTTCAACATCAATATTAATTTGAGTTATACCTTCAGCAAGGAGATCGTGAATAATCACTTGCAATTCCTGGACTTGGGTAATAACAGACTTGCTATCTACCATTTTGTAGTCCAAAAACTTTGCAGCAACAAACTTTTTCAACCCGACATCTTCGGTTTTGTATTTCTTTTCAAGCGCAGTCCACAGTTCCTTTGACGTTTCCACGCCACTGTAGACGTTATACAAAGCATCCTCCAGCCCGCTTAGAATATAATTCTTGCACAAAAAATCTGAATGCTTCCACGCCTCAATCACGAGAAAGCGTTCAGTTTCTGGAGTTTCGTCGGACAGCACAGGAACATCTTCCTTGATGAACTTCTGAAGACTTAGAGTAGTCAAATAGAAGAACATCTTTTGCTGCCAGCACTTGAAATCAATCCCGGAAAATTTTTCGGGTTTCTCCGCCGGTGCCAATGCTGCGGTGTCGTTCGACTTGTTGAGGCATTGGCAGTCACCATTGGAACAGCTTGGTTCTCATTTTCATTAGTCATTTCTGTAAAAGAATGACACAAACGTTAAAATCACGCAGATTTTAATAGAGTACAAAACCACAAAGGTTTTACTCTTCCAGAAACAGTAAGTACAAATACAGAAATCAAATTAAATTCCTTAAGCTTGTTAGTAGACTGTATTTGTAAAATAATTCTGGAAATATAAATGAGTATAAACAGAAATGAACATAAACAGAAATGACATAAAACCAATTCGAGCCCACTGAATTCACAGTGTTTCCTTAAGGAATTTAATCCCCTCCTAGTACCCAAGGTTATGGATTATTTCCTCCCAGGATAGAACGAATTACACACTGGTGTAGTGGTACTTCAAACCCCAGTGTTTCAGCGAACACAAAGTTCGGTAGCAAATCACACTTACTTTTTGCTTTGTTTGATGCTAAAAGTATGCAGAAGAAGGAGAAGAAACTCAGAAAATCGTAGTGAAATTCTGAGCAGAATAGTGTTGTATTTATAGCCAAAGTTAGGCTGAAATCTGAAGAGGTGCAACTCTTCAGAATGGCTGTTTATGCAAAACGCCCACAGCATAAATGCCATTATATAAATGGCCATTTACTCAATAATAAAGAGGGAAAATAAAGAGGAAATATTGAAGAGGGTAGTTACTTTTCTGTTACCAAAACAGAAAAACGGATTGGATTTAATATTAATATTTTGTTATTAAATAAATATTTAATAACATTTCTGTTAATATTTTACTATTAACAAATAAATTTGGTCCAAAAAGTTAATCAATCAATCAATTGACCGAATCCGAAGCCGAAGCCGAAGCCGAGCGACGACGGCGCGAGGCTTGCCTTCTTCTCAACTCTTTAAGAGCTAGAAGAAGAGCAATTGCTTATATACCCATAAAAAACCTCTTCCTCTTCCAATATGGGACAATGCCCATTTGCCAAGGGGGGAACTTAAAATTTCACTCAAAAATTTTATTTCCCTCCATTTCCCATTCACCCTCTTTTAAGTATTTAATATATTAATTAAACACATCCAAAACCCAACAAGCCCAGTCTTCAACCTTCCTCGTCTCTTCCGCCTTTCTTCATGTTAACACATCATAAGGACCTAAAACCACACTACATTTCCATCAATATTTATCAAAGCCCGGCTTTTGCACTAAATCAAATAATTTAATCCTAAGAGTTAAAGTCAGAATATATACATTATTTAACCATGGTTAAGTCAAAGTGTGTGTGTATATATATATATATGAAAAAATATATCTTTTCCTTCCATTGATTTAGTATTAACATCAGCACAGACAATATTTTACCATTCATTTCCTCCACTGAATTCTATTTCGTGAATAAATCATGATTCATGAAGTGTTGTCCGGATTTTTCATATCAAAAAGTTGTAGACTATTGCTAAATCAAGGAAATACACTTTTTTTAATCCTCGACTCCTGTTTTAACCTTACAAATAAAAAAGAAAAGAAAAAATTCCAAACGCCCACGCTAACCTAACCTTAGTGGGTGAATATTGAGCGGTAATCCGGTGATAGAATTGTTAACCTTCACTTTAAAGGTACCATCTAATTCACGCGTTTTTCTTCTTCTTTCTTCCACATGTCCAATTTCTTTTTTTGTAATTGACCGTGGCGCAGGGAACAGACTTGTGTAGTGTAAGGCAATAAGTATAAATAGTTAACTCAACAAACAACATTAAAATCGAGAACTCTTCTCCATTCTCTCTATCTCCTCTCTCTCTTTCTCTCTATCTCCCCATTTTTCTTCTTCGTTCTTGGTGCTTCTTACTTCCATTGAATCACCTCTATTTTTTCTTCCCCTTTCCCCTGTCACAGGGGAAAAGAAAAACAAAACGAAGAAGAAATAAGAAAAATACATATATATATATATATATAATCAAGAAAACACCCACTTTAAAAAAAGAAATTCTTAGATCATCTTTTACGTTGCTATATATATATATATATATGGCTTTAGAAGATGATACATTATTTCTTGATTCCCTGAATTCACCATCAGCTACGTCTTCATCAGCGTCGCTTGATCTTGACCATTCATTTGAATATTCATCAACAACACCTTCTTCTTCTTCTCCATCTCAGCCCTTGTCTTTGCCTAGGAACTCTTCTTTAACAAAGCTTAACGCACGTGCAGCTGCATTCATTCCACGTAGCTCGTCTTCGCCTTCCTTGTCGTCCGCCATGTTGGCGAAATCGTCCTCGTCGCCATCATTGGCGTCACTTTCTCATTCTGCATCCCGAGCTGATTCACATCAGCCCGGGAACGGGATCGGGCCTGGACCCGTGATCCCGCAGAATGGACAGACGGTTGTGCATGTTATCGCTACGCCTGCAGCGACTTTTCATCAGATCACGACACATGTACCTGGTGTCCAGAATTACATATATGCATCTCAATTGCCTGTGCAATATCCATATGGTGGCATTGGTAGAGGATTTGTTGATCATGGGGGTATGCCCGCGGTGGTGGTTATTGGTGCTGATTCTGATCTCAATAATGCAGGGTTAAGTGAAGAAGCTTGTCAAAAAATTGTTAATCAGGTAAGCATAAATCTCTCTGTAGCTATTAATCAAATGTGTTTTTTTCATAATTATGCTGTCCTCGACTAATTTTATATGGATCAAATGTGTTCTTTAACATTATTCTTTATGTTTATTTTGTTTCTCAATTTAACATTCTTTTTGTTCCTTGCACTGAATTAACTCAAATGTTTAATAGGAATTAGACGTTAAACGCTTCTAAATAGAAAAACTTCAATCATTCTTCTTTGTTGGATAGGGGCAGAAAAGTAGGTGATATCTATACTAAATTTTTTCATGAATCTCAATAACAATGATCAAGGATTGACTATTGGTGATGTAAATGTTTTCCGAATAAACATAATTTTGCATAAAGATTTCCTTTTAGGCATTGCCTCAACCTCTTGGTAACGTCATTTGTCTCGTATGTGTATCGTGCTTTTGAGGACTTGAAATGTATGGTGGTAAACTATCCATAGTCGATAGCATGTATAGTATGGTCATAGACACCGATGAGCAGAGGCGGATCTACAATGTATTATATAGGTTCACGTGAACCAAATAACTTTTGTTCAGACCCGATATATGTATTAAGAAATCCAAAAAATATCTATACATATTTGACTGTGATTTGTGAACATAGTTCATATTGTATATTAATTTGTGTGGTTGCTGAAACTTCAGATTCCATCTGCGACACCAAGAGCATTTGTAATCTGTGTTTTCATATTTCTTTCTTTGCTTTTTCTAATTGGGATTTACTTTCATTCTCTGTAGGTGGAGTTTTATTTTAGTGATATAAATCTGGCAACAACTGATCATTTAATAAGGATTATGTTCAAGGATCCAGAAGGATATGGTAAGATTTGTGTTAGCCTTATTAGAGTAATCTTATCTTCATTTATAATTCAACATTACTATTGTCTGATGAATCTTTTGACTTCTTTTTTATTTTCTTTCTATGCTGTAGTACCAATGTCAGTGGTTGCATCATTCAAGAAGATTAAAGCTCTCACAAGTAGTCATGCCCTGGTTGCAAAAATTCTGCGGGCCTCAACAAAGCTTGTGAGTTTTTCCTCTTCACTTTCCTCCGATCCCTCGCCTGTCATTCCAATCCAACCCTGAAGATCTCACTTACATTAAATATTTTTGCTACCTGCAATTCACGTGGTTCCACGATTGAGGTCCTGATTCTTGAATTATTTTCTTTACAATTTTACTCATCTCACATATTTGTTCATTTTGATTTCTCTGCTTCTAGGTGGTGAGTGAAGATGGAAAGAAGGTTAGACGCCAATTTCCGCTGAGTGAAAAGGACTTGGAAGAGCTGCAAGTAAGTTACATTTTTCTAATGCTAGTGGTTTCAGTTGCTGTCTTGAACAATACATTCATAATGTATTGATCTGTTAGAACAAGGACAGTTTATGAGTTAGTGAAACATTTATGTTTTCCCCCTAATTGTTTCATCTCATATTTTTGTCAATGTTCGCATTGTCTTTTGGTTGTCTGGTTGCACTTTTAACACTTTGATTCTGTCTTTTATTTAGTCTCGCATAGTGGTTGCTGAGAATTTACCCGAGGATCACTGCCACCAGAACCTCATGAAGATTTTCTCAGCAGTTGGAAGGTATACTAGTTTTCATGCAGCTGTAAACACGATAGTTTAAGGAAATGCGCGTTAAGAGAGAATCAACAGTCTTTCTAAGACTCATTTCTTAATTAATTGTGTCAGTGTAAAAATGATTCGGACATGCCAACCTCAGTCTTCCAATGGTGGGGCTTCTTCAGCATCTAGAACTGGAAAATCAGATAGCACACTGTATAGTACCAAGGTGCGCGTTAGACATTTGAGTTTCTAGTCTTAAGTCTTGAATATGATGAAATGATGAATCTCAAGCTGGAGTTAACAGAATCTGTTTGAGTACAGCTGACAATGCATACTGTAAGCTGCAAAATAATAAAACTAAAATAGAGTAAAATTGCTGCTGCTATTTTTCGGAAGCCTGGCATATAAAATGAGTAGTTTTTGTTGTCTATATTAATCTTAATTTGGAACATTTTGTTCATTTCAAGAATCTGAATTGAAATTTCTAAACGCAGTTGCATGCATTTGTGGAATACGAATCAGTTGAATTGGCTGAGAAGGCGGTAAGTAAATGAAAGCTTGTTTAATAATGACATCGTAGGTCATCTATCTCTCACACCCTTTAACCCTTTGCGATCTTATTTTGCAGGTTATGGAGCTAAACGATGAGAATAACTGGCGAAATGGTCTGAAACTCCGCATATTGAACAGGTGCACGGTATGTATTGGACATAATTTTCCCTGATAGTTAAGTTGGAACTGCATCCTAAAAGCAGTATAATTAGTGATGTAAGGTGGTTCTGTCGTGGGTTTCAGAACTGATGATTAGTGTTCCTGGCATTGTTAAGATTCTTAAGGTCCAAATATGTTAGTCCTAAGATAAATGTATGTTGAACTTCTTGACTGTTGAGAAGCTAGAGCTTCTGACTTCATTGGATAAGCTTTCTTCAGTCTTGGATTGTTGTTTATTAAGTATTTATGAGTTTTGGTTGAATTCACAGGGAAAATCTGGTCAAAATCGAGGGAAGAAAGTTGGTTATGAGAGTGAGCTCAACTTCAAGGAAGAAGATGCTTTCGGATCAGAGGCCAGCGAGAAACATAATGAAGACTTATGGCACCACTTTGATACTCACTTGAGTGACCTTGCAGTAAGTTATCTTTCAGACATGCATGAATATGGCGCAAATAATCGTGCAGGATATTTCTGTATGAACATATAATATTCCCCCATTATGTAATGTAGTGATTAAATTTGCTGGTGTTTTAAATTAACTATTTGGTAGGAGGAACATGGCATCGATGGGCAGAGGAAAGGGCTCAATCGCAGTTGGATTAAGGGACAGGGTCAGGGACGTGGACGTCTCCAGTTTCATCAACACAATCGTGGAGGTCATTTAGGCGGGGCTCCCACATCAACTATGAGGCGTGCATACAGTGTGGGGAGTGCACTGTCAAACTTCAATCGTGTTAGTCTAGCAGGGCATCCCTCGATGCTTTCTGAGCAGTCAGCACCAGCCAAGCAAGCTTCCATTCCTCGCATGCCAGATGGCACTAGAGGATTTTCCATGGGTCGAGGTAAACCAGTTGCTACTAAAACAGCATAATGAATCGGTGGTTATGTCGCGAGCATTTCCAGATGGAGAAGTGGGAATGTGCTCTTTTTTTGCAGTAAGTATTGATGGCAGTGTCAATCCAGTGGATCGAGCTGGTATAGATGAATCAGCGGATTGAATCAACTTGTCTTCCTGTTGTGTTGTTAAAGCAGAGATCTTGCAGAAAAGCTGTGTTTTTTGTAAATTTTGTTCATTAGGGTTCCATATTGAAGCAAAACCTGAGGGATTAATACAGATGTAGTAAAGAATCCTCCCCTTTCCTCTCCCCTCTAGCTTCATCTTAGTTTTTTTGTGTATACTAACAGAAATTGAATATTATCTATACTATATAAATGATTGGGGGTTCTCATAGGAAATTTAATAGCATGATCACATGACTCTATATAGATAATACCTTAAGTAGCAAGTACATTAGCTTTATGACTCCACAATCCAATCAGCTATTTTCACTTCATCGGCTTCTTGATCAATCGATTGATTGGATCGAAGTATGAAGGGGTTGATTATAGTCTGGGATGAGTCCAAGACAAAGGCTGAGAACTACAGTGGATCCCTAGGAAACTCATTAAACTTGGATAGAACAACGACTAGATCTATCAGCTTGTCTAGCTGTAACTAATTTTTGCAAGTTCATATTCTGTACCTGAGCTATGTTACTTGAGGCTTATTCATTTTCAAAGTAAAAAGTCTATGTCACAATCATCCTCTTAAATTGTTAAAGCAGACAACTATGTTGAAACTTGTAATTTTAAAAGATTATCAACTATGATGACAATGTCGGGACCCTGCAATCACTTAATGTAAAGAGTTCAAAAAACAGAAATGAGCAGCAGAGAGATACAACAACAACAACCCAGTGGAGTCCCGCAAGTGGGGTCTGGGGAGGGTAGTGTGTACGCAGACCTTACCCCTACCTATGAAGATAGAGAGGCTGTTTCCGAAAGACCCTCAGCTCAAGAACGTAAAAAAGGAGCAATAGAAAAATAATAGCAACAACAATGTAAAAAGACGAGCAGCAGAAAGATGACACAAAAATAACAAACAAGCAAGTTGAATGTAGTTGCAAGTATTCTGTGTAGAAAAACAAATAACATTGGTGGAATAATTGACTTAATAGCATATATGAATACTTTAAGATTGTGAGAGCTCTTGTGATGCTGAGAGTCTGGACTCGAACCACAACCTTCTGAATAGGTGACCAATGATGGATTAACAACAGCAAGTAAGGCAGTTGGATCATGAAGGAAACACCTACATATATAGAGCTCCAATTCTAGTAACATCAAGACAATGACACTAATGAGAAATATGGAAAACAGCTAATTTTGCACGCGATCGAAAAGACCTTTTATGCCGTATGCATTATGGTGATGGTCAAAATAGACTTGCATAGGTACTTGGCAAACTTTCCCCATTAGACTTATAAATAAGATAGATAGAGAAGTTAACTAAAAATATGTACAATACCTGAGTATAGAGCAACAAAAAAACATTACCACTAAGGACAACTTGATGTGTAATGTTTAATCCAACCGGCAGGACATCTTATGCAGACGAATAATAGAAAAGGTATGAGAAGAAAAAATTGTAAGCACATATATGGATGTATCTATTAGCAACCTACATTCCATTTTCGGAGAAGGGTCATATTTACCCTTCTGTTGAAAATAAGTTACATTTATCCCTCGTTTCAGTTTGCTAATAAATTCACCCCTACCGTTATACTTTAAGTTTATTTATACCCCTCATCCGTTAAATCTCTCATCCCAGCCTTAAAAAGCATGCCGTCATTGGACGAAAAGATGCGCCCCATTTTAAACAAATAACCCGCCCGACCCAGCTACTAAATCCAAGCCCCTATCGACCAAAAACTCCCTAAATTAAATCCCTCTTCCTCTAACAAAAAGTGGGCAAAAACTAAGGTTCTTCCATACACTAATTGGGTCCATTGAAAAGCTTTCTCTCCCACATGCTTTGTATATATTGTTGTAGAAAAGAGTAGAAGAACTGAGTGTGCATTAAAAAATAATTAAAATTCTTTGGATTGAACACGGGTTCGAGCCCGTGGAAGCATCCACTAATGCTTGCATTAGGGTATGTTATCTACTATCAGACCCCTTCCTCGGACCCTGCGTGAACGCGGAATTCCTTGTGCACTGGACTTCCCTCTTTGGATTGAACACGTTAATTCTATAAATAAAGCTTGGGAAAAATGAAAAAAACAATACAAGCAAAAAGAGTCTACGGCTGCCATATCCGTGACTCGTGAATAATGGCCAGCTTCAAGTCTTGGCATTTTAATACTTGAGTTGTTAGTTGAAATGGATAATTGTTAGACTAAATAGTGCTAATAAAGAAAGAAGAAAAAAACAGTAAAGGAAGAAGGCGAGAAGCAACAAAGAAAAGAATACTGGAATTTGGAAGGAGGGAAAAAGGTAATTTATTCCTTACAGAAAAGGAATATTATTTTTGGTCGATGGGGGTTGAGTTAAGTAGCTGGGTCGGGCGTTTTATTTATTTAAGAATGGGTGGGTGTTTTTGTCCCATGACGACATGCCACGTGGATTTTTAAGGTTGGGAGGGTGGATTTAACGGATGAGGGGTAAAAGTAAACCTAAAGTATAACGATAGGGATGAATTTATTAGCAAACTAAAATGGGGGATAAATATTGCTTATTTCTAATAGTAGAGGGATATATATATATGACCCTTTTCCGTTCCATTTTATATGGTAGTTTTTTCCTTTTTAGTCTGTTCTAAAAATAATAGTAACATATTTATATATTTGGAAACTAGACTAAAATTTTGTTGCCCTATCAATCACCGCCTTCTGATTGACAAAAAACCTTACTCCAAATATTTTGAAAACTTGAGAGATTATCCAATACAACATTAAATGTAGTGCTTGGAAATAGTTCAAATGAAAGCTAAATTACTTCCTTAATAAAAGTTTCTTATTAGTTTTGAACTTTTTAACAACAAAATGATATACCTGTACATCGAAGGGGGCGTTGACAGGTAAAAATAGCATGGTCTAGTCAGTTTTCGGATTGGTCATTCAAAAATATCCATCGTTTACCAAGTCAATGAAAAATAGCAACTATTTTGTTGCAACAGAGACCGGTCCACCATAATATACTGGAGTTCGGTGCACCTGTGTATGAACTTCCAGCATATTATGCTGGAACTCCAACACACGGAAAGTTCCAGCATAATATACTGGAGATTCGAGCACTTGTGTATGAACTTCCAGCATATTATACTGGACCGGTATACTTGCTGGAACTCCAGTATATTATGCTGGAGTTCTAGTGTACTATGCTGGAGTTCCAGGATAAGTATGCTGGAACTCCAGCATAATATACTTGAACTCCATCATATTATGCTGGAGTTCCAGCATACTTATCCTGGAACTCCAGTATAATATGCTGGAGTTCAAGTATATTTATGTTGGAACTCCAGCATAATATACTGGTGTATTTTCCGGGTTTTGAACAGTGTTTTCGCTCAGATTTATCTTTACATGAAAAGTGGCTAAATTTCGATTACTTTTAAAACTTGGCTATTTTTGAACGACCATTTGTAAATCTAGCTATTTTTAAATTTCACCCCGTCGACAGAGGCGCCCGGATTTCAACGTACACGACTTCAAGTGTTAGTAATTGAGTTCTAAATTTAGTATTTGTACATATTTAATGAATTTTAAACACCAAATACATTGTTTGACCAAAACCTATTGGGTTCACCTAAATCCGTAGTTCGACTTGTCCTTCCGCCCCTGGGCGTCGACAAGTGTTTTGAAGTAAATAACTTATTTGGTACTGAAATATAACAAGGGCCGAATATAGTGGAACAAATTAAGATGATTTATCTTTCTGGGGTCAATTATTTTAAGATAATTGATTAATTGATATTTATTTATACCGTACTTCATATATTTTGATTATATCACACTCAATTTTGACTCTGAGTAAGTGGGCCTGGCTTAAGCAAATAAATGAGAAAATGACATTTAGAGTTCCTTTTAAAAATTTAATGACCAAAATGCTCCTATTTTTTACAAAAAGACAAAACATGCCACTTTTGAAGATTTTAAGACCATGCTGCCCCTTTTTTTGTATGCATAGGCTTCACTAGAGGTTCTTCTCCTTTTTTTTTTTTTTTTTTAAATAATCCATTAAGCAATGCCTAGGACTAGTTTTTATACATATAGAAAATGAAAAACAAAGTGTCATGAAGTCCTAAAAAATGAAAGAAATAAAGCTTGCAAACTACATAGAACCTCTTATCAAAGTTGAGTGAAATGCTCAACAATGATAGCACATGTGATCTAGTGTAGCTTTTATAACTAAAAACTAACCCTTGAGGCCCGTTACACTTGATGTCCAGCTGAAAATTCCTCTTCTTGCTATAATAGCCTCTTTCATAAATAGCCACTGCCCATTTCCAATTCTTGCATGCATAACCACCTCGATTGCACACATAGCCAATGATGATAGGAAACACCTTTCCTTTGCCTTGTATCATTATATGTTGTGTGATTGCATCCCCATTCGAACATATGCCGGTCCAATCTGCATAACAATGTAGGTCACGCAAATTCTTCAAAAAAGGCACTGTACAAAGAAGTACGAGTACACTATTTTTGATTTCATTTTCACGTGCGTTCCGTTGATTATATCTTGATGGCTTTGCATGGAGTTGGTCCTGTATCATCCTGTTATCGCGCATTATGGAAATTGTATCCCAATTTGTATTCAGTTTGCCCGATATGAGCTGCCAAATGGGGCATAATGAGCTGCCAACTGTGCTACTGCTTTCACGTCGCCAGGTTCTTAGCGAGAATGGGTATCTCGCATCACCTGGTTGTTCATGTTGCTCCTCGTCTTGCTAGGCGATGCCTATAGCGAAGGAGAGCAGGCACCAGACTGTGCGTCGTCGCCTGGTCCGTCGCGAAAAGGAGCTCGCGCACTGCTTGGCATTTTATCGCTTGTGGTTGCGCTGGGCGTGATCCATAGCAAGGAAGAGCAGGCGACAGAGTGTGCGCCGCTAGGTCCAACGCGAGATGGGGCTGGCGCAATACCTGGCGTTGCCTGGGTTTTGAGCTCGCTACTGGTCGTGCTGGGCGAGGTCTAATGCGTGTTAGGAAGCTTACTAAATCTACTGCTTGTTGCACCAGTAAGGCTAAAGCCTGGGACAGTAAGGGATATTGCCATGCTTGATGCTTATTATGAAAATTCCTTTGCCTCCTTACTTCCATGATTGTGCATGTCATCTTTCCTCCTTCAAGGGATTTAGCACATAGTGCTAATACCACCCATAGAAGTCATCGTAAATGACAAGTCATGGACACAAT